CTCATTCAGGAATTCGTAGACGCTGACGTGTAAAGGACATAACAGTGCCATCGCCCACCAAGTGTGCGTTTCTGCGTGCTTGGAACAAACACTGGCACGTAAGTGGTACTGAAGATTCACACTCCTTCGAACCTTCGGAGTGGCCACCACTAATTGCTACCAGCTTTCGTGCGTCATAACTAATAAACTATGTGAATTCGCCAGGCAAGATTGACGAGGGTTACTGAGGTTTTGGGAAGGTTTGCTGCACGCTGTGGCATTAGCTTTCAGTCTCAAACATGTCTTGCAACAACTCTCAGTAGAACTTTACGATACGGGTGCTTTACAAATGTTGTGTGCTGTATTGTAGTTCCAAGCACGTCATGGGCCACCATCACGCCAGTTTAGACACTTTCATTGTGGGATCATTATTAGAATATTGAAAAAGTGCACTTAATAAATTTTTATGACCAACTGAAGAGAAATATTGAGCTGTAAATGAAGATAATCTCAGCCACACTGCAAGCACGAATGCTTGTAGTGCAGTGGCTGGCTGTGGGCTGATGAACTCTGTGAAATGTCGTCTGCTACACTGCTGCATCATTGCAGGTGGCACCATGGTGAAAGAGGGAGCACAAACAGGAGGATAACTGATAAGGTATCAAGGCAGAGGAGGAGATTGTAGCTACTTTAAGAAGTTTCAAACGTAGTTTCCCAAAATAAACTGGAGGGGACTATGGCGCTGCTATCATTGCGACCATGGGAATGATGGGCAGTACACGGATATGTCTAGTCTTTGTGCTTGCGGGATTCGAACGCACTTGCAGCCTTGTTTATTCTTGTGCTTTGATTTTGTTTCAAATGAAAAAAAAAAAAAATGTTCTCAACTTCAAGACTTGGCTTGAAATGACGAGAATAAAATATTAAGGTGGTGAGGTGCGACATCATAACATTTGGCGATTGTCATTTCGTGACAAAGCAGCTCCAAGCCACACGAAGCGAAATGGAGCAAGAACGAAGATAAGCCAAGTACGTGAACTATTCAGCATTCCCATGCTCGCTGAAGCGCCGTGCGTTACAGCTCCCACAGACGCAAGCGCCAGAGTTCCCTCTAATGTATCTGTAGGAAAGTCTATGGTTTCAGGGGCTTTCCTGTCAACGACAGGTGCACGTAAGTGAGAGCGCGGCCAACTGGCACAATTAGGCACGGCACCCTGCAGGAGAGAGCAAGAACGCCACGCCATATGAAAAGAATAACCGAAGGGCACAAAAATGAAAGAGACTCAGGTTTTGAAGGAAACATGCTTTACTTGTTGAAAATCATTCCAAAACTCAGAAAGACATACACAGCAAGCAAGAACGAAGATGAGACATCGCAGAGAGGAGCACCAGGGAGGGAAAACACAGCACACAAGCCCGAGAACAACACACAAGTGGCACTTTCTATTGGAGACAAGCCTGGAAAGAAGTGAGAAAAGACAGCATGCACTGGTAGTCGCAGGCAGCAGGCATGGCGGTTCCGCACAAGTGGCAGCAAAATGAAGTGAAAGAACAAAAGCAGTGCAAAAGCAAGAGCCAATGCAATAATAGATAACTTGACGACAACACTGAAAATGTGGCACTCATTTAGCTTCAGTTGCATACAACAAAAAGACAAATTATCACATAAAACGCTAAAAGCTGTCGTACCTAATGAGGCAGAGTTTTTAAAGGCGATATCACTATCATCAGGCAAGGCTGTACTTGAATGCATTAAAGGAGTACAGAGACAAAACGTCCTATGAGGAGATAGAGACATGCACATTCCACAAAATATAAATAATTAACACAGCATAAAACATATTTTAGGTCTATTTATGCAGCGCAAAACTTTGCACCTAGTAACACGAACTTAGATTTGCAGTTAGGAGCAGGAGGACAGCTATGTCTTAAGTTTGTGTTGGCTGCTATGCTTCTTAGATGAGGCTCCCGCTACAGCTGTCAAATTAGTGCACATGATGCTGAAAGCGGCGTACGTGTCCCTGCTCTGTGTGAAGTTAGCTGTGCTTTACAATAGTAATAGTACTGCATTAAAACCACCTTTCTTGGTGCCTGCCTCAACATCCGATCTTACGTGGCTGCAAGTTCCTGCGTCTCTGCTCCTGACAACCCAGCATTGTCAATGGCCAAGACTCGTAAGCACATACAGATTGCACCAGTTTGCACACCACGCATGCATGCTCATTTACTAAATGTGGTGTACTAAATATGCATGTCAAAGAACCCCATACAGTCCAAATTGATCCAGACTCTTCCACTAAAACCTGTCTTATAATCATATTGTGTGTTTGGCACTTGAAACCCCAGAAATTTAATGAACTTATATGAAGGTAATGAGACACAAAGGAGTGGTAACAAAAAATTTGAGCACATCTTTTTTTTTTTTTTTTGCCACTAACTAGTGGCAAGTGACTTGTTAATAGACACAGTGAAACTCATTTGCCCAAGCACAAAATGAATGTTTATTAAGTATACGCTCATATTTTATGACCGGATGCACATTCATTTTGAGGATCACTAAGGGAACCCTGACATAGTCTGCCAGCTAGTCAAAAACACTACCATGCGGCCACGAAAGCCAGTGATGTTGCTGGCCAGCTTTGGCTATATTCTCAGCCCTCCTGTTCTGTCTGCAGTGTTGAGCACTGCGAGCGCTTATAATTCCTCGATCGTCAAACTACATTGCTTATCTAGTGCGGCGATGGACGAAGGAGCTGGGAAAAGCGTAAAAATCGGTCAGAAAAGGTCTATTCACTTTGTGAAGCTTCCCGGCGGCTGCAATTTTGTCCTTGCAGTCATCCAATTGAGGCAAAGTTTTCTACGATGCTTGCAGCAGCCTCAGTATTAGGTGTGCTTGAACATTTTCCACTTAGATCACTTCAAAAGTAGCATGTTGAGAAGTGACAAAGAAAGGCATGGAATCATTACATTGGCACACTGTAACAACGTATAACGAGTGAGTCGCGTGATGATCGCTTCACTGGCTCGCATTTAGATCCAATAACACTGCGTTCTAAAAGCATACCAATCTTTCGCACACACGCTAGAGTGCTAACACAGTTATTTGTCCACTACACTGTATAGTCCCGGCACTAGACAGCGTCAGTTTATCTGTAGAATTCCTAACCTTTGCGGATAGCAGGCAACTAGAAGTGTTGATGGCTGCTTCAGCAGCAGCCATGAAACCAGTAGCGATATTTTGTGGCATTTTTTACAACCACAATATTTGTTTCTGTTTTTCTATACTCTGTTTCATACATGATCTGTAACATTGTGGAGGTTTGCGAGACTTCTAGCAGTTGATGCATTCGCAACAAAAAGTATTTCAATGTTCTTACTACCAAGCCCAGAATTTACTTTTCGTTATTATTAAATGAGAGATATTTTGTGCCTCACAAACAAAAACGGCGTTAAGCGTCTGTTATTATGCGGCTGGATCGCTTAGTTTCCACGTTGATGTCACATACGCGCTCTATGCGCTAGACACGTCACAATGGCAGCTACCAGAGCTTTTCTATCTCATGACACCTCGATTGATTGATTTGTGGGGTTTATAGTCCCAAATCCACCATATGATTATGAGAGATGCTGTAGTGGAGGGCTCCAGAAATTCGACCACCTGGGGTTCTTTGACGTGCACCCAAATATGAGCACACGGGCCTACAGCATTTTCGGCTCCATCAAAAATGCAGCCGCCACAGCCGGGATTTGATCCCATGACATGCAGGTCTGCAGCCGAGTTTTAGATGCCCGGCAATATATGGTGAATACAGTTTCGGGCTTTGTAACAGTTCTCGATGCTTGTTTCTTTTGTTTTGTTTTTTTTTTTTCAATCAGAATAATGACTCGATTTCTCAAAGAATGCCCCATATATTGAAAAGGCTAAAGTTCAAGCTACAGACACGTATCCGGAGTGCCATCTTCTTCCCAGCGCAGCAGGACACCGGAGCAGCAACACATGCTAGGAGGCACCAGCCACAGTAGATGTGATATACAATGTTGGATAAGTGCTGGTTATATCATGCCATATTGACAATGCCTATCTTCATCAGATATTCGAATTGGCTTTATCCCTTTCTGAATTTTCTCCGAACTGGAACATATTACTCTCTGCAACCTTTTGGAAGCGACTTCCAAGTAATCAGAGCACCTATGATAGTAAATATTGTCACAGGGTTAGGGTTAGGTTCAGAGCACAATTTCTGCAAGGTGCGTTTGACCAGATAAAGTAACGATGGCATGAGTTCATTGGTCCAGTGATGGCAGCAGATATTCATCGATGGGTCAACGCAACTTCAAGACAGAAAATCATTTTTGTGCCATTTCTTTAGCAACCAATATTGTAAGCGGCAATGCCAGCATTTGCAACATGTCGCATTTGTTAGTCTGTAGAAAGCACGGCATACGTTTCCCGCTTCAGTTTGTAACATACCATGGCCACATTTGCCGACTAGAAAGTTCATATTTCCTGCGAAGCATTAGTTTCCACGGCAACACACTTTTGTTTTGAAGTTGCATCGTCTTGCTGATAGGCATCAGCGGACCAATGGGTCTGCGTTGCGACTATTTGGGCAACTGCATCTGACGTGTGCCCTCACCTAAAAAGTATATATTTTACGCTGTGATTACCGTGGTTCAGGGTTAGGGTGGTCTACGCATCGGGACAGGACTGGTTGATGATGCCTAAACTGCGTGTGGCCAACGTGACCTCTACTTCTTGCTAAAATCAAAACAACTGAAAAAATTTTTAGGCTGATAGAGTATTTCGATGCAGCATGATGCAATTTCAAGAAATTTCATAATCTTGGCTCAGGTTGACACAAAATATAGAGCTGTATCAAACTGGCACCGATGCAGCTGTGGCACCCCTGATCAATTTATTGATCGACCTGCCTACTTTACTAATTTTTCTTAATCACCTCACCGCTTCAAACATTAAACTTATTCCAATCACACTAAAATTATTTCAATCAATCAATCACCTCTTCAGATGGACATCCAGAAGGCGAGCTTGAGGAGGAAGACGATCGGCCCCAGTTCTTCTCACGTAGATCCAGGACATTTTTAATCATCAATGAGGCAGTTCTGCAAAACAAGCAAGTGCAGTTTCTGTTCAATCAGCTGCTGTTGGCATGGTGTTGGGTCGGTCGAGCAAATGAAGCAGTGAACATGAAATATTCACTCTTTGACTGTCAGGACGCCAAAATTTGAGAGCCATGTAGCTCCTTTAAACCCCTCAAACTTCGTTGCTACACCTTGCCTGGTGTAGGTCGTCTGGATTAGAATGAGTCGTAAAATGTGAATTAGCAGTAGTTCCAGCAATGTTCGTTTGCCAATTGCCAGTGCAGACTCGCTCAGGTCGTTGACATGATCATCGCAAGAACCAGAAAGAAATAAAACTTGTATAATACGAAAATCACATTACCCTGAGAAAGCTCCAGAAGATATGAAACTAAGTGCAGTCGTTAAAGAGATACTCAACGAAAATTTTGCCAAGATTTTCAGCCAAATTAAGAGATTAACAGACAACCTTTGTTACAAGCAGAAGCAACAGTAAAATAATGAAATTAAAGCGTTTTTCACAAATAACCGCATCTAGTGTTCGCGTCACGAACTAGGGAAGGTGACATTTGGTGACGTCACACACACACACACCCGAAACGGGCAAGTCAACAATGCCAGCCTTCACCCGCGCTTCTCGACTCGCTGAACTCCCACTTCGGTTCCCAAAACCGGTAAGAACAGCAACAGCAGTGTACAATGCTTCAGGCTGGCGCAAAGCACCAGGGCATTTGTGGAAGAGAAAGAGTGGGATGAAAGGAGAGGTGGAGAAAAGGAGGACAGGAACGCATGCATAATGCATTCCCCTTGGCGAGTGCGACGTCGCGGCTCTCTCGAGCGGCTGCTGGGCGGCAAGAATCCATGAAAAATGCAGTCGACTCCCGCTAATTCAAACTCGAAGGGACCTCTGAATTTCGTTTGAATGATCAGAAGTTCTCAGATCGATGACTCTAGGTGAGGAGACCCCACACATTATGATTAGGCATTGATTTTACCACATTTAAAAAGTTTTTGTGTGTTTCTGAACCCTAACTGCATGCAGTGAACAGAAAGCAGAGGAGTAAGGTCGACAAGCTTATTGGCCATTTACTGCTGATCAGACCTTTTAATGAATTGCCACCTGCTTCTTTGTCATAGGTATGTGCCTTCAGCACAAAGCTCTCTATACCGAACGAGAACCATAACAGTTTACCATGCCTGTGCTTTGTTTAAAACATTTATTTGCTAACGAAGACTTTTTCCTTGAAGGCCTGATGTGCTTATTTTTCATTTTTAGACTGTTTGGATTATATAAGCATGCAAATATTTAAATAGTAGTGGGAAACCAGCAGATATTTTCTGGCACGAGACTGCAAAAAATATGAATTGACCGAATGATAGAGTTTGAATCAAGAGGCTTATAAATACATTGAAAGAATAGAGAACCAACCAAGAAATTTAATTTTGTTTGAATTAATTAAGAGTATGAATTATCAGAGTTTGAATTATCGAGAGTTTACTGTACAACAAACTGTTACAATATATTACAAAAAACTGTTACAATATATTGTTACAAACTATGTTTATCGGAACACAGGCATATTTTGAATCAAATTTCAACGTTTCGTCAGTTCTTCCAATTTTCGTTCAGTATTGCTTTACAACTCGACAGCAAAAGCGAGCGCGGCATCAAGCAGTATCGCTCTGTGTAATAGGTCGTGTGTTGCGATGTCGCTTGTCACCGCACAAACTACCGTCAATGCACTTTTATTGAGCAACGAAGTGGCACCTCTCGCATTCAATTGGCGAAGTGACGGCGGTTCCCTCTTAGTAGGAAGTTTTCTGGGCTTACAAAAGTGCTACGACAGCCAGGCATCTGTTGTTTTACACACACGAACTCTATGTCAAGGAGAAAATACTTTTGCATGTTCAATAAGCTGAGTTGCATATCAAGCTGTATGCTGAGTTGTATGCTAAGAACATGCAACTTTGCCAGGACCAGCCGAGCGGTTCAAATCATTCGTCGATTTGAATTAAGTGATTTCCCAGTAATTGAGAGCTTTGCGCACAAAAATAAATATGCTGGAGAGCTTACGGATCAATGTCAGGCTTCCGCACGACCTCCCTGAGCTTGTCGAACACACTGTCCAATATAGAGCCGCCGGTACTGCCGGGTCCTGAGTGACCGAAGTCCTCCAAGCTGTGTCCCGTAAGCTGCGTGCAAGGGCAAAAGGTTCCGAGGAGTCAGCACTAGAACAACCAATGACACTAGGGATTAGTTAATTTAGAATCTATTAGAAAAACTTGGTCTAAGATGAGGATTAGGAATACAGGGAAAGAAAATTATGGTACCCTAAAATTAAACAAACGCTACCTATACTCAGAGCTAAATAAGAACCTAGATTTTATAAAAGAACACTAAGAACTACTTTGAGCGAAAAAGCAAATTAACAGAGGAGTTCATTCTTGTTGATATATCAAGCAAAGGAAAACATAGCAAAAGTCATTTGTACAGGTTCAAACGAGGTGCTGAAATAAGATAAAGGCAAGTGAAAGCGAATAAAATAAAGAGAGGGAGAGAAACGAGAGGAACAACTAGCTGCAGGTGACCTCCGGTTTCAATGGCACTGGCAAGTTGTGTTCCTCAAGGGGCGGAGAGCTTCGAAGCACGCAACAGTAGTGCTAATCTTAAACATTACAGCCCGATTTTACATGACAGACTACAGCTGTGCATATGCCAAAGCACATACTGCCAATTATGAAGTCCAAGTGTACAGTGCTCACGGAAAGAAACAAGACGCCACTACTTCAAGTACAACAACCCGTGTGTGCAACTGCTCAGGGTAACCGTGTCATTTATCCACAAATGTTGCTATTAAAGGTGATGTTGGCTCTTATGGGAAGACAAGGGTCTGAAAAAATTTTTGATATTGGAGTGAATGGAACAAAATTTTACAAACTTGTTCAGTTTTTTCTGCACATTCCAAATTTGAGAGCCAATTTTTCTTTATAGCTACATTTAAACAAAAGACCTGCCGTCCCAACAGTGATACCTCATTAATATGTACCTGCTGGGGAACGCGGCATTATGACACACTAACCGCAGCATGCATTAACCATCAAGTACAAATTTGCTTTGATGTGCACCATCGCCATCAAAAAGAAATGAATAAAGTGGTACGGCGAATACTGCCTAAAGTGCCCACTGCAAAACTATTTCTTTCTTTATGCCAAAGTGCAGAAAAGATTCTGGCACTCTTGCACAACAGTCCGATAGCACGCAGTGGCGGCACAAAGGAGCATTTTGAAACTATACGGTGATGTCCGGGATACGCAGAGACTGACACAGCGGTAGAACGGACATCATCAACTGTTCGCAATATATGTGTACTACAATCTGCATACTGCATACTGAACAAAAATTGAGTTCTCCCCCCGTGGTACGGTCGCAAGCAGTCTATTGTCTACTGGCTAGTTACAGCGGTAGAACGGACATCATCAACTGTTCGCAATATATGTGTACTACAATCTGCATACTGCATACTGAACAAAAATTGAGTTCTCCCCCCGTGGTACGGTCGCAAGCAGTCTATTGTCTACTGGCTAGTTACATGCAGCGCTTCGCTACTCAACACATGACTGGAGAGCCGCTTGCTGTAGAATATTTCCACATCAGAATGCACATATGGGAAAAGTAGCCTGTAGGGCTAACGTGGCGACGCTGGGCGTTCTGCAAGTGATGCGCACTCCACGATGCTTTAGTTGTCCAGGAGGCATGTCTGGGCTGTGCCTCATAAAAGCATGCAGTGTGGTTACAAGTGCTAGGCCTGTGGTGCCGTACCTGTGCACTTGGTGCGATAGCGCCATTACAGCAGAGATTTTCCATTAGACAACTGGTTTCGTCTCTGCAAGCGCGGTGCTTGCTTGATTAAGGCCTCACACACAGAGGCGGCAGCAATCGGCAGTCCAACACGTTCATGTAGTCTCCTATTAGAAGCGTGCAATACGCTTAAAGTGGTATTGGTACTCGTGCCTATTGCGATAAGGCTTTTTGTCAATGATAAATCATACCGGCACGTTTGTGTGTGGTTACCACCACACCTTCGTTTTTTCACAACACTGATGTCATGGCGCAGCTTTGCCCCTCACCTTCAGTACTTGGATGGTGCACTTGACATTGTCCTTTGTCGGTGCCTGCAAGAGGGTGTGCATCATGTTTGGGATGCAGCCGGCTATGTGCTTGACCTTGTAGGAGTAGTCATCCCGAAGGAACTGAAAAATACATCGCCACATTGGTGCGACCGCCAATCATGTGCACTGCCAAGAGGGAGAGTTAAGCGAACACTGAAGGGAAAAAGGTGATTTCGTTTACATCCGCAGACTAACCTTTCGGAGTAACAAAAACGCTGAGCTCATTGTAACAGGGCGCTCAGTAGCCCAGAAAAAGGCAAGAAGAAAATGGCAGCTTTACGGTGAACTCGCCGCACTGAATTAATGCGACATCACTGGCTTTCATACTGTTTGCTAGTACCTGTACTACTCTTCATTCTAAAAATGGTTCCACAGATTTAACATAGTTTATAAGCTAAAAAAACTGCTACGGCATCATTTCATTACCACGTGGCGTCCACGTGGAAATGCAACATAGAAGCGCACAAACTAAATGCCTGCAATGATCAACTTCTTTCACAGCTGTGAAGGGTCAACTGAGGAAGCTACTACTAACCATCATCTGTGAGAAGAGCTCAGCTATGAAGAGCAGGAGTCCCCTCAAATAGTTGTCGCCCATGTCACCGGACGCGAGGTCATTCCGCTTCAAACATTCTGAATGGCACCTAGAAAACAAAGCCAACAAAGAGAAAGACGTTAGGGTAGCCTTCATTGGTGAAGCGTGTTGCAATTCCCTAGCATAACCACGAGTCTGCGATAGCGTGCTATTTATCGTCCGCGGTGTAAACTGGCAAATTACAGCGCAAACTTTTGTGCTACTAGACGAAGGCACAGCGTGGAGCTGAAGGAGGCTGTGCATCTCTAATGACACAAAAACGTGTCATGCGTGCCAACGCCCTGGCCTGCATGTGGGAAATTCTGAGAATTTGTCTATTTGGCCCGCCAATGCAGCCATCCGTAGATTAATAGCTGCAGTATTGTAATCCTAATCTTTAGTCCATTTTATACATAGTGCAACACAATAGAAGTTAGCGAGACTTCTAGCAGCAGATATGTTCATACCAGGAGATGTTTCAATGATTTTACTGTCCATACTGCAATTTCTTAATTTTTATATTTACACTTTTAGAGCAAGTAACAAAAAAAAAAAACCCTGTATATCATACAGTCATAAATAGGTTGTTCTAAATTTCTTAGCATCTCTGTTTTCGAATCGTGGCCTCCAAAAATCTGTTTCTGTAATGCCCAGGAGAAGCAAACGCCAAAACATGAGATGCACAGCCTTACACACTTTACTGATTGAATTCCATGCATAGCCATTTGCAGTATTGGACTTGATGTATCAAACGGAGCGCGGAGGTCATCCATTCCGAATCCTGAGGGAATGTCGTCCGTTTAAATTTCTTAATTTATTTTTGATTGGTTTACCTGTTTACATCTTCTCGTAATTTTACATTAGGAGGCCCATTTATATTGGATGGTCAACGTGCTTTCCCCACGCTTGTTCTTGTAAAAAAGTTTCTAATGCCCACACATAGACAAGGAGCGGCTCACCCGTAGAGTTCCAACATGACAAAGCAGCCCTGCGACAGTAGCACTGTAGAAGAAGCACTGCAACTGAGGCCTCCAAAACGATTCGGTCGCTTCGGTATATCTGACACACACACCTATACCTCATAACGCGTGATTTTGCGTTATGTCTCCACGAAAGTGCGGTCCTCGTGTCCGGAAATTGAACCCATGGCCTCGGGCTCATCGGTGAATTCTCATGGTTGCCGAGCTCATCCCGTTGGTGTAAAAACAAGTACTTGTAAAGAAAAACACCCGAGCCCGTCCGATTCTGCAGCGAAGTAAGCTCCGGAACAAATAGGTCAGCGAGATTCGCGGCTTGGCCAAGATACGACAGTACATCTCCGAGCTGAGTAATTATGTGCACATCCAATGCGAAGCTTGAGTAAGTTATTCGAAGAGCTTGTTTGAGTTGGTGATACACCAGAAGTGAATGCTGTTGTTGTGCTTATTTATTCCCATGCAGCCAGCCAATGACCCGTTTGGCTTCTTATGACAAGCTTTAGAAACGTCCCGATTGTACCCAACCAAAACAGCCAAGGTTTGTTATGGCTGTTAGGTGGACATCCAACTCTAAAGCGCATGCAGGCTATCATTCCTTCCATCAGTTTAAATGCAGTAGCTGCTCACTCTTTTAACTTGACACGTGAAAAAGGCGAGGCATTATCTTACAAGAACTCAACAATCATTCAATTGATTTGTCAGCTGCTGATATGCAGAACAGAAGCTGGCTAACATTGAAGTATCATTTAAAGGGGCCCTAAATCACCCGGAGGTCTCAACTTAGTTGTAGTGTTGCAGCTGTGCACAAGTCCGTAACAAACACGTGGCCCAAGACTTTTTCAAAATAATGCCATGATATCAAGAGTTAAGGGCGTCTGATGAGTCAAAAGTGACCATTGCTTGTTTCACTCGTTCATTTGTCCCACTCTGTTCATTTCCTTGTCTCTCTTCTTGGCCCAGTGTTCCTTTTTGCATAGAGATGCATGGGCAGGCAGTGTGCGTACCTGGAGGTAGGCAAACAGGTTTGTTCTGCTGCTACCAGATTCTGTCGGCGACATCATGCCCAACTCTGAGGATACCCAAAGGCCCATAGAGTACAGGATCGTTCTTCCATTTTGTAGTGCACCCATGGCATGCAGCCCTGCTGCGTTTAAAATTGATCATGATGGCAGACTGAACTCAACACATGCGTTTAAAAAATTTTCAGAGATGGATTAGGGGCCATCTTCAAGGGTGGTAGTAGTGAAGCACCATTAGCATAAAGTTAGGTTAGCTTATCATGAACTCGCGGCAAGCTTAGCTGCGCATTTGTAGCTCGTTTTACCTTTCGTCTGTACCATAGTTCCTTCCTTTGCTCTTTACGATGACAGTTGAGAACAAGCACTGCAGAATATATTGTTCCGATGAATGGCAGACGCAGACAACTCACCGGTCAAGAAGCAGGTTTGTGAAGTGACCATTGTCAAGGCCTCGAACGCTGAGGTTGCTGCCCAGATGATTGCAGAGCCGAGCCCCGCTATACCGAAAGTTTGGCTCCTTGACACCCTGTGTAGAAAGGTCAGGAAGCGGCCACAATAGTACATCGTCAAGCTATCATAAGACGACACTTTTACTGCTTCTTAATGGTCTTGACGTCATCAGAAGGATTACCGTATTTAATCATGTAAACTGCGAACCTCTACATTAGTGTCTGGGCTTCAATGAATTAAGCATTTTTGATCACAATTTTCTACATGAACACCAGTCCAGTGCAATTACAAGGCAGGCTTCACATGTTTGACAGCATCATGGGGAGCCCAAACAGCTAAACAAACAAACAAAAAAGAGACAATTGGTGGTGCTGAAATCCAGTGACAATGACCTCTAGCCAAAAGATACAGACCATAGAAGTTACTAATCTGCTGGATGTATGGGGCAGAAGCGATTAGAGAAGCAAGTTCAAACTATGGCAAGTTCAAAAGAACTCCAAGGAAGCGCTAAACAAATCGAAAGTGCAGTAGCTGGCTCGTAACAAGTCAAATGATAAAAAAAATTAGCGGGTTCACTTTTTGTTTATTAGGGACAAATATATGAGACAATAAATATACAATTGCTTGAGGAAATGCAAGTGAAATGAGGGTGGGAGCGGGCAAATTCAAAGATAAATCATTGCAAAGTTTCAACACGAAAGTGTTTTATGCCATAGTCTACCACAGCTCCGCTGATGCATTTCCATCACGCATATGACGTTCTAAAATATACACTAACAGACTGCAAAGACAAAAAACGAGAAGGGGAAGTTCTGTTGCGGGGCATCGAACTAGCAACCTCTCAATCCGCAGCACACGCCGATAACTACTAGACCACGGAGCGTACGTTGCAAAGTTTGTTAACGGCAAGCTGTTTATATACACCATATTGCCACACTGAATATGCAGCACCAAGAGAACATTGAATATATCATTTGGCGGTCATCACAGCTCTGAAACTTCAGCGTAATTTTGTCATCACTAGCGAAGTGGCGCAAAGATCTCGCGTTGGGGGTGGTCTAAACGTCGTTGCTTCTAGCGTTTCGATGAGCGCCGCCTCCACAGGGCGTGGTCTCTCCTGTGCGCACGCCTATCAGACTCGTGATTCAGGAGAGCACGAAGATCATTTCACTTGCTGCGGCCACATTTACGAAAGGAGCATGCTGCTCACACACGAAAAAGTAAGAACTGGCACAGTTGTTCACGCTTGTCCCATGTATATGCGCTCGTTTCGCACGTCTTTCTGTTTGAATAGCAAGCTTTAAGTGTTGAGCTGTGAGAGTTGTTAGTCCGCGCACGGCCTGTCTATGCTCATTTCGTGTGCGTTTTCTGCTTGAGGTGCGTGCTGAGAGTTTCGAGCTGCTGCGAGTTTTTGCGCGACTTTGTAATTTGTTGCTGTAGCATTCATTCCTTCACCCTTGTGGCGAAACAATGCACAATAAATGCTCAACTACCTCTGTGAAAAGACATTTCATGTTTGTGTTATACTGATTCCAAGACAGAGAGATCAGCCAGGTTTTTGTCAATACAGCTCCTACCGGCAGCAGGATGAAATTTTATTATGCACATTACTTCTACTTGGTTTTCCTTCTTTGAATGATTGTTTCACAGGGCATGTATAAAAGTACTTTTGACGTTGCAATTGTTGCTTTCTGCTTCTTAGTTATGCCCAATGTCAGTATGAGGACACAATACACTTGTTTCAGAACACAGCCACCTCAATGTGACCAACTTTTCTTGCAAGCACAGGTGTTCCCCTTTTTGAGTTTAATCGACCACTGAAGTTGACACTTACCAAAATGCACGGACAAACCTTTGCGTGAACAAGGGCGGTGTGGCCAAAAACCCAAGGCCGTCAAAATGAACACGAAGTTCCCCTCTTTATGTCATGACTCGTACCCACTTTGTAGCTCGGGCCCGTAAAATTCGAGAACCCAAATTGCGACACGAGTTACATGCGTGACCTGACCTAAAGAGGCAAGGCATTGTTGCACAACCCTACAAACACTAGGCATTAATTCTGTCATTACAATTCTAACATAATTGCTGTTTTATTATTGTTGTGTAGAGAGTTTCATTATGACCAACGAGCTAGATTCAAATGGAGCTCAACAAGCGTCTATCGTAAGTTGTCACGAAATTCAAGAAACAGCTCAGCAAGCAAAGCTCACCTGTTGAAAGATTGTGTCAACGACTTGAGTGAGACCGTCGGCATCTGTGACGCTACCCAATGCTCTCGTGAGCTCCCCTATCTTCGAGTCAAACTCGCCAGGACAAAGGGTTACGTCTTCGATGAAGGTCATCAATTCAACGATTGCATATCGAGTAGAATCCCGCGAAGGCTAAAAAAAGAAAAGCACACACAAAATTATTTTTGAGAAGATAACGGTAAAAGATGAGAGAGAGAGAGAGAGAGAGAGAGAAAAGTAATGGACAAGGACAACGTAACTTGCACAAAGTTGCTATAAAAGCCGGTACTAAATTAGTCTCTTTTTCCCATTTAACAAAAGATGTTTTTGGTAAAACTCATTGTGATTAAGTGATTGCAGTACACACTTCAACCAAAAACTTCCGAAGAGGCCCACAGTTCAACTCTGAAAAGCTGAGCAGAGATGCCAGAATTCCTGGCAAAGTTCACCAAGGCATTCAAGTTTTCGAGCTAAAACTGGCGACACCAATGAAAGGGACACTAAAGGCAACTATTAAGCCGATATTTATTGTTAAAATAGCTGTCCAGGAATATCGTAGTGTCACTTTTGTGCCAAAGAAGCGCTTGTTTTGAAATAAGATCACATTTTAGTGTTCCGCATCGGGTTAGTGCACTTGAAATAACCCACCTCAAGTAGAATGTTTCACATTATTGTTGCCATGCACAACGTTGCCTCGCCTTATTGCGCAGCCGCCGACACCAATAGCAGCAGAAAGAAAGTAGCGGGAGCCACACACCAGTACCAATGGCTTTTGAACAATTTCCTGCCATGGCCTCCGCGATGGCAGATGTGCTAGATGACACAACCCCCTAGATGGCACAACCTGTATACTTTAACCAGGTTAAAATTGAACTTTGAACCACTCATACCATTCCCCATAGCAACATCCAGCGGTTCTTTTTTCCATGAATCAAACAGAAAAGAACAAGCAACATTTTATTATGTCTATTCATACACGGAAGGTTCTTTATTTAGTGCAGCTAGCTCAATTAGTAGTGATTAATTGTAGGTGGTATGTGTGACGTCATCGGGATCATTTTGCGAATGCCCTAGTTGTGGCGCATGTGTTGTCATGCATTTACCTTAATTTTTCGGTAAATGGGGCACTGCTATTGATAATATTGTCGTTTTAGATGTTGTCATACATTGAGCTTTAACTCTGGCATAAATTGTTATTTGACTTTAGTGCCCCTTTAATGTCATAAAAATGAGCAAGCACCATAGGATGCAGAATTCATACAAATTCTCTCCGAGAGGAACAATGATGGCGGTGGTCATATCCGACTTCTTTTTTCCTAATGTAACCGACTATAGTGACAATTTTTGTGACAAGCACTTGCAGAGAGACTAGTAGCTGCTGGTTGTACTGAAAACTGCACCAAAATTTGTATTCCCTTTCATGCTAGAAGTAGAACATTGCCTCTCTGTACAATACATGCCTTGTACAGCACAAGTAATCTACCTTTCTGCAAAGATCTTGCAACTGCAGCACTTACTATCCCTGTAAGGACCTCTTACGTGGACATAGGAATAAGCATGCGTATCCATAGCTTTGTGGTTTTCGAAAGCAACTTGAGCTACAAAGCAACAAACAGTGCCGTCCTATTATGGTGAGCAATAGCGGGTGAGCCTTCGTACAATTACGTGCGTGCACTATGCAGAACCCTATCGCAGAAGGTATATTGTGATGGAGCATCCGTTAACCTTATGTCATTTCAACTTTCGGGCCTGAACAACAACACTAAAATTGCTCTTATGTGTACTTCTACACGAGTTGAGAACGTACAAAGTTACTCCCACTTAACTTCGTGCCTTATGGTGAAATACGTCGTTTCACAAGCAAGATGCTAACGTACTGATACCAACATTAGTGCGTCCACAAGTACTTCGGTACCCCGACTTGCAAGGGGACTTGCAGGTGACTCAAGTGGTCACAGGAACCCACTAAGCGAATTACTGATTTGACTCACCATTTCAGCACCACTTACACTAAGTCAAGCAGTAGTTATATACTGCCACATTTAGTTTGCTTTGCCGATTCTTTGCTTCATTGTCTAATAAATAGTGAGCAGCACTCTGCACAGTCGAGCAATCTACTCAAGCAAGGGAACACATAATCTGACCACCATGTCTTCTCCCCCCCCCCCCCCCCTAAAGGGACACTAGAGTGAAATGGTGAATTCGTTTGATTGATAAAGTGAACTTTAACAATGCTAATGCTGTTTTCACCCTCATTGGTTTATTAATGAAGGCGATAATCAAGGTCAATGTTTCAATCTTAAATTTCGTGTATAAATCTCCACACGTCGTGTAACAGACTTCAAAGCATATTTTTCATAATTGGTGCCATAAGCTCAATGAAATTAGCTTAAACATGGAATGGTAAGTCTTTAACCCTTTCAGAGGACAATGTACGTCCCTTTTATTGATTAGGACCTAGATACAGCCTAGTAACTCTGTCAAAATCTATGACATGAAATTCAATTCATGATCAATGTGTGAGGTTTAACAAGAAGCACCCTATGATTATGAGAAACGCCGTAGTGAAGCGCGCCAGAAATTTCGACCACCTGGGGTTCTTTAACGTACAACCAAATCTGAGTACACAGGCCTATGGCATTTTCGCCTCCACCGAAAATGCAGACGCCGCAGCCGGGATTCGATCCTGCAACCTGCGGGTCAGCAGCCGAGTATCTTAGCCACTGGACAACCACAGCGGGATGACATCACAAAATTCAGTGTAGAAAGTGATGGTATCACCACTCGCATTTTCTCTTTGTGTGGTTCTTTCCTACCAAGCATCTTCTTACAGCCAACATGGTGATTTTGGAATTCTGAAAGGGTAACCTAATAATATAAGAAACTGTGTTTTTTTTCTCCCTTTAGTGCATTTTTAAGAGTGCGGTGTTTGAGTGTAGTGCTTGCAATTATGTTACTCTATGCTCATCGTTGGTCACTACCGCATAAAACTTGAGTTGATTTGCGTGTTGTACTTTTGGTTACATTTGTCTTTGTTCTTGATTATGATTTGTATGATCTGCATGGTGTAGGTTTGTTTCAATCTGCCAGATGTGTTGCCTGTCCAGATTTCACGGTGTAGTGCTTGCGTCTTGAACAATGCGTGAAGTGTGCTTTGTTGCTCCACCTTGTAACGGCCTTTGGCGGACAGTATAAAGAAACAATATAATAATTAACTATAATGTCCACTTCATGTGTTTGCGATCCCCTCTGCTCTCTTCCAGTCTCTTAATTTGCATGCCTATGACCGGCCTCGGGGGGGGGGGGGGGGGGGATCTGGTGGTTATGGTGGCTGAGTGCTGACCTGAAATTAGTGGAATCCAATCCCAGCCACCACGTCAGCGAAATGTAAAAGACCCGGGTACTAATTTTTGGTTGCAACTTGATGAACACCAGATATGAAAATTTCCGGAGCCTTTTATTATGATGTCCCTCATTATCATATCGAAGTTTCGGGATGCAAAACCCCAGCAATTATCAATTTTCATGCCTCTCTGTTTTTTTTGGTTTGTTTCATCACACGCAGTGCAGCTCTTCACCTGTATTTTTCTTGAAGTTTCAGCCCTATATGTTTGCACTGGCAGAACGTAATGATTTCACCCATTTTGCTCTAGGCGCAACACTCGGCTGCTGGTGATGTTTAGTATTTTAGAAGTATTCTAAAACCGTGCAAAAGAAAACCGGGGGCTCACCGGCGACGTCGGTTGGGGTTCTGGTACAGGAACTTTGAAGTGCCGCGGAACGAATACAGGGGCCTCAGGAGACAGCGTGCTGGTCATCGCAAATGATGCCATGCTCTCTGCAATCAATCAAGAGAAGCCACTGTGAATACTGACCTACGCTAAATACAGGTTATTTCGTCATATGCTACTAACGAATTTATAAGTAACCAGACGCGCAGTAAAGCTTTCAAATGCAATTAAAATGCCTAGCGAAAATGGGGAAAGACTCTTCATCAAAAATTCATTTTTTATACTTCAAAAGCAGGCCTTCTGAATAGCTTTTACATGACCATGAGGGCAAACAAGATCGAGCTAATAAAACTGATTTTATGTTTTTTTTAATATATCCTAACTGGAACGATACTATGCTCTATGCATTCATTCCACAGGAAGCCACACTAACACTGTATCATTACAAATGAACGAATTTACTGTTAACCTCAAGTATACACAACTAACTAGCCGAGTCGGCCCATTTCGAAAGCTGTATCTGACTACACAGTTTCTGATCCCCTCATCATTTTGAACTGGCCTGCAAGACTTGCTGCCCTACCTAACATGCAGTGTGCCTGCTTTACCCTTGGGAGGCAGCCAAAGTGTGATGCTAACCTCCCTACACACGCAGGCCTTTCAATGTGCTCCCACAAGGCTTGGACAAGGAGGCCACTGAGCAGACCTCCAAGTATTTAAAAGTGTGCCTTGGGAGGAACGAATTTACAAGCAACAAGATGTGCAGTAAAGCTTTCAAACGTGATTAAACCGCCTAACGAGAACGTGAAAAGAAACAACCAAAATCCGAAAAAGAGTCGCCTCGCGCTCACTGCGCTGCTACGTGACTGACATAGCGAATGACAAGAACCTACTGACGCATGTGGTACGACACGGTAGGCACACCACAACGTTCCTGGTGGATCGCGCGGAATTAATTGAACTGGGAAACTGGCTGTACCCAGGATGAGTTGCCATATGTATTTCGAACATGACAGAACAAAAAAAATATAAAAAATGCTTTAGCTATAGGAAGAACCGGCAGCAGTTGAAACTAAGTTCGAAAGTAGCAGCTGGTACCACGTGCCTCGGTTTTATCGACACCTGTAACTAGACTAGAAGAAATAAGAGTTGTTTTTCCCTACTGCCGATAAGTCACAATCTCCCACGGGCGAAGGTGCGTCGCGCCAAAAAAACGCAAAGGTCTGCGGCACGCGCTCTGTACTTACCGCACCTCTCAACGTCGCGCGTGTTCGATAAATGCCAGCTGAGCATAATCGCCGTGGAACAGGTTAAAAACGACCCAAATTCCGCAATTTGTTTGCGCAACGACAGCTAGCACGCAGCGCTCGTCAATCGACACAACCAGTTTCCGAAAAAAGACGACCGGCGAGACACACACGTTCGCGACGTGCCATGACATCCTGTCGCAATTAAGCGCGTAAAAAGTTCCCAACACTCGAAATCGCGCTCGGGGCATCTCGCGTGCAGGTTGTGATAGCTTGCCACGAATCGCCGGCTAAGCTAATTAAATCGTTAGATACAGCAAACTACCCGTTCCATCCCCCCCCCCACTCACCTCGGCTGGCGGAACGAAATAACCGGTCAAAAATGCGCCACAACGTGAAATCCCCTGGGGGACTAAACCAACGCACGGCACCGCCGACCTGTCAAGAACTGTTTCGCGGATTTGTGGAGGGGGTTTCAAACTCACGTCCGTCAGTCGTCGACGTTGTTCCAGCTTTCGGTGTGACCGGCTGAGAGCCACTGTGCGGGACGCCGCTGTCTTTCTTCGGCGTCGCGGCCTTGCCGTTTGAATCCATGCTCACGCGCGCCGTTCAGCCTGTCGGGCGCCACACACGTATCCCGTCTCAACAGCGAATTCGAAGGCGGAACGACTCTGCTCCGCCGCCGATGAGGCGCATTCGCTTGTCTGTAGCCTCACGGTGCCCCGCAAAGCTGCCTTGGCCGTTGCTGCTGTTTTGCGCTCACTAAGCGTAAACAGAAAAATTAACGTAAGAAATATAAAATAGGGGACAAAGCCGCGTCAGTCGACAAGACTTCCCCCTTGAGACAGAGTTGTTCTCGTACAACGCTCAATATTGTAAAATTTACGCTGTAATATAAGATTATTATTTAATTAAAAATTTTCATATACGTAAAGTTAAGCTACAAAAACAATAACTTATTTTTAAAGAGCCAACCGGAAAAGCTCAGTCGCGCAGGGCCGCAGTTACACAAACATGGCGCGGCGCAGGAAGCGTTCACGTGTAGACGAGGGTGCCGAAAACGCTGTCGAAACGCAAGAAAGGCTACCCCCGGTCTCCAGAAAATCAGATGAACCACCGGAGAAAAAGGTAGAGAACCGTACGATGTTGTGCGTGCGTCGAGCCAGGTGTGATCGTCGATATCTTGATTCCCCGGCCCGCGGTACCTTATGACAAGGAGGCCATGCTGGGAGCGAGTGTTTCCAAACATTCACGGATTGCCGTTGTGTATTTCAACGTTTGTTGTTCCTGGCTGGTTCGCTTTGTCGCCTTAATTGGCCCCGTAACCACGGCCTACGTTGTACTCAGTCCTAACGGTAAGTGTTTCTTTTTTCTTCAGTACAAATGGATCAACAAGCAGCGTGTCATGATCTTCGCTTCAAGGGGGATCACGTTCAGAGACAGGCATCTGATGCTTAACCTTCGCACATTGCTGCCTCATTCGAAGCCGGGTAAGCGTTTCCTTCAGTACGAGTACGTTTTTTTTTATGATCCCAGACCAACCTTTACCGGACATATTTCTAAAGGTGCCTAATTATCCTGCGTTGTAATATGTCGCAACTAGAGCATAATCGCAGCATGCGTACACTCTAGCCGCGCGTGCACATACCGAAACTTTACTGCGTTGTATTTATTGGTCGTAAACGTCAGTTGACAACGACATGCAACTCGGCACGACCTGTTTATTTGGTTGTGGGATGCGAAATGTCCGGTACCATCTGTACACATTTCATTGGTTCAATGCAGCAGCAGAATGCCAGTGTGTCTGCTGGTCTCAATGGCTTATCAATGCTATATGATGTTTTGGACACATGCGCGATGTTAAGGTTGCGTTTCTGCAACCTCCTTCGCGCTCTAAAGCTGCGCACAAACACATAAATTGTGGATTTCTCGCCATTGTTGTGCCATCACTGTACGTATATTTAGTGACACCATGAGTAGCTAAACTCTGCTTTGCATTAGTTCTTTAGGCTGAACGAGACGCGCTGTGGCCTCATTCAGGCTTTAAATAGGGATTCGCTACCAGAACATGCAAGTTTTCTGCATGGTTGTGCAACTTGCATAGTCGAGAACTTGCTGTTCCTCTCAGTGGTTTTCGCATATATCATTATGGCCGACATCTTCCGGTGCTACCACATTGAGAAGTTGTGTAGTAAATGAGATCTATGAAAGCACAACGGGTGTCTCTTGCACCAAGTGACAAATTGGTAGGTGGAAATGTGGTGTAAAATGATCACTGTCAGGGGTGTCCTGGCATTAATTGTGGCTTCTAATACATTTAGAACCTGTGGTGTTGCTCCTAAACTACCTATTGCTCAATTATTCATGTTCAAGGCTTGGTACTGGCACACCAGCAGCTGAGTGCTAGTAGTCATTTATATGTCTTACCTTTATCTATGCAGGATTTCTCAATACTGCTTTGTGATGTGCTTATCTTCATAAGGCAACTGCTTATACTATGGGTCCAAAAGGTGTTTTCATTTTGTTACCTCCTGAGTGAAACCTGCCTACATGAAATCTCTAAAGTATATTTTTTGCTGGCAGTCACCTCCTATACATAGTGTGCACGTGCGTCACGCAGCGCCCCTTCGTCACTTCCAAAGTGCGCCACCAACATGCCCGGGTACCTACTGACTTTATCGCCGACCGCTGCCGTGTTGTTTCCTCGTGCTTGCGCCACTTCAGTTCTGCCTCACGATGCTAGTTTGAGCAATTATCAGCTGCTGGTGAGGCAAGTTGATTTAGCAGTCCACGAAGAGGGAGTTGAGCGTTGGGATGTCCTCTTTGGAGAAATTTATTATCTAAAATTGAGAACGCACATTGCGATTTTCCGAACAGCACTGGCGTGTTTGGCTGGTACAGATTCACAAAAACGACTTGAAAAATCTCAGTTATATTTGTGTCTTCAGGTGTAACTTCGTTATGGGTGAGTGCTATATCCAAGCACGTACCTGCAAACAGAGGTAGCTTACCGTGATACTGTACAAACTTGTTCGCGATTACTGCGTGCACAATCAGCGTGTCAGGGAGGCGGTTAAAATCGTGAAGGCAACCGCGGGAATGCAGGTATTGCATTGAAACAAACTGCAAAAATGGATGTGAAACAATATTCGTTCACTTGCGATTTTTAGTATAGTCAATCGGTTTGAGGGGGGGGGGTCAGTTTTTATTTAAATTGATTGATTCCCTAAAACGGTTCTCATAATTTTCAGGGACCCCACTGTACATTAGCACACAACAACGAAGTAAAATACGCGGTAAAAAATGTGTCAAAACATACAAGAAAAAAAAGTGACCGGCATTACCGCGATGTGCACCACGCGAAGTGTCTACCTAGCATAATATTTTCCTCGGCTCTTTCCACAAATTCTAATCAAAGAGGTTCAACATCTGCACTGTTTAAAACACTTGGGAAGCCGTGCTGCTACTTTGGTGGCGTGGACCACAGCAATATACTAGAATTATTATTAATAATATATCTCTTGTGAACTTGCCTAGCTCTGCACGATGACTCGTTTCTGACAGAAGCTGCTGCGCAATTCTCTCATCCACTCTTAAAATTATGGCTCGAAAGACTTTGGGCTTCCACTTGTTCTCGGGCCATGCAATTTGTAGTGAAAGCGAGATAATGTGCCCTCATAGGTCGCGGAAGGCAGCGGGTATAAGCAGTGACACATTTTGATTTTATGGTCTTGTATCTGGTGAACCAGCGAGGCCTTCCTGATGCGATCAGCTTGTTGAAGTACGACAACAAAAAACCGCACAGCTTCTCTTTCAACATCGTGCACAGCAACAGAAAACAAGCCCTCAACAAACCGCCCTTCAGCACGCGAACTGCTGTAGGTACCCAGTGAAGTACCCGGGCATGGCGTGAAAGGGCGACAACGGCGGAAGTGACATCACATGAACACTATGTATTGTTTCTCACAAATCACTCGAAGAGCAGCCGGGAAAACCGTGCTAGCGCAAATATGGCACGAACATCGAACTGTGCCGCGACATGTTGCGTACACCCCAATGACGCCAAGACAATACTTGCTGCTTGGCTGTACTTGCCATTTTCAAGCGCATTAGTTTGGTTGTGTCCACGCTAATGCCATTAACGATGTCAGCAGTACTGATGCTTCCAAATTGGCGAGAGCATCAATGGTGGGCTGTAAAGTGCTTAAGCAAATTTCCTTTGCGCACTAGTGACTCGGATCGACCACTAATGCCAAAGTAACATTGTACTCACCTGCAAGATAGATTGATTGTCCAGGACTTTTTGCGCTAGCTAGAAAATGTGATCTGCATTTAAAAAGGCATATGGAACTCTTGTCAATGATTGTGCTCACATTATGTGTTATTGCTACATTCGCAGAGTCCAAGATGGAGAAGAAGGACCCTCTTGTGGTCATCAACGAAGTAGGTGACTTGTCCGCTCCATTGTTTTCTCGGGCACGCCGTGTTACGTGTTTATTGCTTTCAAACAACTAACAACATCCTTTCAGATATGTGAAATGAAGAACTGCAACAAGTGCTTGTACTTCGAGAACAAGAAGAGAAAAGATCTCTATTTGTGGTGAGTGTTGCTTTTGAGGCTTTCAATTGTTACACATATTGGTCGATGTCATGAGCTATGTCATGATTGTTCGTTTGCTTCTTGCAGGGCATCCAATGTACCGAATGGGCCGTCTGTCAAGTTTCTTGTTGAAAATGGTATGTTGCTCAGTCTTCCTTGTTGCAAGCAGAAGGATTATTCCAAAAATATCCATAAAGTGGACTGACTGTTTGTGTGCACACTGATTGGACAGAGTTTATACAGATTGATTGGACAGATTGGACTTCCTTGAGTTTCCTTCAATATTTACTAGAGGAAATTTTGATGCTGCGATCAATCAGCCACTTTTATGTCCGCAGCCTCTGGCACGTGTTTTTTGCAAGTGAAGGCAGAAGATGCCGATGAGCATCTCTCGCACTATACAGTATACCAGGTCGCCAGCTTAAGGCGCCTGATCGGGACCCGCATTCCCAACCGTCGTATGTGCGGTTACTCAAGACTAATGTTCCTAGTTCTAGTGTTCACCTGGCAACCGCTTGTCCCAATGTGGCCGAGTCGGGTACTTAGTGTATCCTGTGCTGGCTAACGCCCCAAACTAGCAGAGCTGTGCCTGCGGCCTGACTGCTATACTTGGCAACAACTGATCTGGATATTGGGGTGAAAGTTACGGTGGCGGGGCCCGCATCATCGTCACATTTTTGGCAAGCCTGCTAAGGTTCTCAAGTTCAAAAGAGGGAACGATGGAGATTAATAAGCTCTAGGTCATAGATACGAACACAGGAATGAAAGGGGCGAAGCTGAAGCATTGGACTGACAGGAAATCGCAAGGAAACAAGAACAGCATGCCTGAAATTGTGAGGACGCAAAAGCACTGGTAGTGCAAGACCATCTCAGAGGTGAGGCCAAAGAACATGTGCTTAAGCTCGAGACACTCCAGGAGAAGACTGGCAGTATGCAAAGTGTGTCGATATATGCAATTGCAGAGAAAGAGCTGGAAGTGGCTCTAAGACCGTCCAGGCCTCTGCTGTCAGACACAGGCTGAGAGAGTGTGCCCATTTTAAGCGGGACCACTCTTGGCTTGCAGTAACACCCTAAAAGTGCTCGAGAACGAGGCATCGAGATCGTCACATACCTTGTTACATGGTGAAATCAATTTGTGGGAGCCGGAAACGTCGGTAGTCATCTGGGTGGGCATCGTCATGCACCCTGACGTGCCGTGAGTGGGCTACCACTGCGCCAAGAGACGCTACGGACTAGATGTTAGACCAGGGTGTGTTTTATTTGTGTTTGCTTGTGTAGCATGTCTGTCAGTTCCATCCCGTGTTCTTATTAAAGCCTCTATGATTACAATAAGCTGCTTGTCTGTGAGAGGCCACAGTCCACATCAGAACAGCCACCATGGGAAGATAGGTAGTACACGCATTTGCCTAGTCGTGCTTATGTCTTCCAGTGCACTTGTGGCACTGTTTATTGTCGTACTTTGGGTTCTGTTTCAGATAAAAGAATGGTTCGTTGTAAACCTCGCGAGGCGATCTGAATTGGCTGGCCTAGGCAGGTCGAGGTGGTGATGTAGCCCTGCTGAACATTTGCTGAACTTCGCCTTGCGACAAAGTGGCTGCCGGCCACACGGAGCCAAAAGAACAAAGGATAAGAAAATCTATGTACCACCAATCATTCGCATTCCAGCTCCTGTAGGCGCTAAGGCCAGATTTCCCTTTAGTGTATGGTCATGTAACTTTATCACCCACTGGTAGTCTAGCTCTTTCCAATCAATCTGTATTATAATAGATGTTTTGTTTAAAGTACTGACAGAATGCTATGTCGGTCGCTACTGTTATGGATCAAATCTTCAAACATATCAGAGAGAGATGCTGTTGGTTCACTCATCAAAAAAAATAATTTATTGGTACACTGTTTTTTTTAAGTTAACAATGACGTCTATTTAACCTATTGAACCTGGCGAAAAAGTCTCATGCTTGCCCCTTACAGTTCACACAATGGAGGAGCTGAAGATGACTGGGAACTGCCTGAAAGGCGCACGACCACTCCTTTCCTTTGACAAGGTCATGCTCTTTTTTCATTTCCAGTGCTCTTTGAATCAGGTGCATTCTTTGGAGAAACCCGCAATCAGTTGGTACTGTTTGAACATTATTTCAAAACTGTTAAACGAGTTTGGTGGTAGTGGTTCAATTTATAAAACAGTGAATGCATTCGTTCATTTAATATTGATGCTCTCAAGACCCTAGGACGCTCCAGAAAAGAGTGGAATTATATATAATATGGTTATAGCATGCTTTGTCGGTATGGCCCTTTTTAAGAAGTAATTCTGCTCACAGTTTATCTGGTGAATTTCGCTTCGGCTACTTAGTACTTTGTGTTATCAGGTTTCCAAGCACTTAAGTTTTAAAATATTTTGTTTAATAAAAGTTTTAAGTCAGTAGCTGGTCTTTGTGTTGTGAAAAAGTAGTGCAGAATAAGAATACTTGATGAAAAAGCATTATATAGATATCTTTGGGGAACTCCGAATTTATGCAACATTGAGTTGTTATGAGTGCCCTCCGCTTTATATCTAATATATTCTCTCGTGTTTTGTTTTTGTTTCGCAGGCATTCACTGAGAACCCGTTTGCTAAGCTGATGAAGGAGTTGCTCTCACAGGTAACATAACCCTGGCACTTCAGTCTCGTTTCGTGGCATTAGTGATCGTTAGAGATTAGTCAGCTCGAACAGGGGGTCCGATAAGTCTGGATTAAGGACCGTTGCTTTATGCGGCTATCTGGGCGCTCTTTTTTTTTTTTATGTTATCCGTTTGCCCGTGCTGACGGGAGCTTCACCTCTTAAATGTTCCTGCTCTGCGTTCGTCCTCGGCGTGATGCCAACTGGATGGTGGCTTCATGAAAAGATCAGCGACGCACAGCTGGAGAGGCTCCCCTCCGTTCCTGGAACACAACCAGGAATGCTATCGCGGAGCGATTTTCTTGCGATTCTACGACCATTTTTCTTATGCCTTTCATGGCCGCTAGCTGTTTTCCATTGGTCAGCATTTTCGAGCCACAACTTCGGCCAGTGGCACACGGCTAATGGAAGCAAAAGGCGTAAATAAATGTCATAGAATTGCTCCACAATAGCACTGCAGCTCTTGTAATGTTGGCAGTTCTAGTAGCATAAAAGCTTGGCACTGTTTGGCTCAAGTACATTGGTTTGATTCGTGGCCACAGCCACCACACTTGGAGGGAAAGGCGTGGGGGGAATACCATGACAGTCCTTTTAAAAGAACTTTGTGTACTTGAAATCAATCTGTTTTCTCCCACCGCCAACAGAGTGCCTTACATTCGTGTCATTGCTTTGGCACATAAACCAGCATAATAAAATTTCAACTTTAAGGTTAATGTGAAAAATTCGCTACCTTTTCCTCCACGTTCCCTTCAGGGGCACATTAAAATGGAGCACAAGGGGAAGACGGCATGAGCTGAGGCATCATCGTTTCAACACTGCAAGTGCATGCACTCTGGACACTGCGAAGAATGGGGAATCAGTTTTAAATTGCATCAGGGGGCTTGAGCAATCGCTTTCGACGATACTTTGACTTTCATCATTCTGAATGAGAGTAGTACGAACCTGTTTGCCATCTACAGGGCACGATGTGTCAGAGCTGTAGTCTCTCAATGATTGCAACGTGCACTGCACAAATGTCACGAAAGCTTGTGAAAGCGAACATATCATTGGAAGTGATCGCCCTACAATACCGTGTCCAAGTACTGCCTGTCCCCAAAACTTGCGTGCACTTGGTGCACTTAAATAAAATATCAGGAGTGACCCGAATCCCGGGCTTAAGATTATGGTTGCGGCACTTGCAACTAGGAGCTGGTTTGCCCTGGTGTATTACTTTGGTCAAGTTTATGCTTTGCGCACTGCTGAAGTTGATCCCAGAGGACATGTAGGAAAGGGTGTGGGGTTGAGGTCTGCTCTACTGGGAGCTGCAGCAATCCTATCTGCTCGCAAGAAGTTTCTGCTCTTCCAATGAACCGAATCGGTTAATTTTCAGTTATCATGACAGTTAGTAGGTCTTTATGTTTACTTCTGTTTCAAGAACCGTCGATTTCTTATCAGTTTTAATTTTAAAGGGCTTTTTTTTTTGTAACTAGAAGCAAGTGCTCGACCAAAACTGCTCAAGGGGCAGTAAACAAGCTCCGGCTTTTCTTTTTTACATGCCCCAATCAAGTTTGTTTATTTGAATTAAGTAGACCGTGGTGATCACATTTGGTGGATATTACAGCGTTGTGCAGGTCCTCCATTACAAAAACCCTTCCCGCACTTTTTTTTTTCTATGTCTGTCCAGCCCTTCTCGAATGAGCATTGATGAAATTTTGCCCACGAGCAAGATTTCATACCACTGAGCTTGTCAATTGGTCCTTTGCACTACGAATTGTTGCCTTAGCCTTGCCGTGATGCAGTTTCAGCCATGCGATTCACGCTTTCACTTTCCTGTGCTATTGCCTATCATTTTGCAGAGCCCGATACTATCGGGACAAGTGGTATTGCCAGAACAAAAGCCTCCGGAATGAAAGGGCTTCTTGCTACTTTACTGCTAGGGGAAGGCTGCATGCCTCGCCTTGCACTGCACTTCCTCTCTGCATTGCTATGACTCGTGGGCACATGGGGACAACCCTGCCTTGTCATTGGCTGTGTGCCAGTGACGTAATCGCTGACATCAGGCAACGTTGATGAAGTGGGTGTAGCTGCGACCTACCGTACTCCTGACCTGCTCGTATAGCGAGCTCCTGTGGGAGCATGTCTTCCCCACTCATTTTATTGCTCTGCGTTGGTGTTGCTTCCTATAACCTGTTTGTCTGCTACTCTCTGGTCTTTTCAACGGCGTTGGAATCGGGACGCCTGCATTCTGTGAACTGCCGGCATTGAGGTGATTGCTTTTGCGAACCTGAACAGAGGGGCATGATGTTCGTTGTGGTATAATAATCTTATAGCAGCTGAAAACTTCTGTAGCCATAAACTAGCGTGGTGTGGGACAGCCTATATTACCATGCATGCCATGCACTTGTTGGCGTACATTTAAATGCAGAGATCACCTCTCATGCCTTAAGTATTTTTGAGGTATTGTGCATTGGGGAGTAATAATTACATGATATACTTGTGCTGCGCCAGAGTCCTTCAATGCTTTTCTGGTCACGAAAGTGCCGCCTCAGCTTCATATGGAGCCAGCACTGGCCGCTAGGGGCGCAGCTGTGCTCGTGAGGGCATGCTGCCGTCCGCTACCGCTGCGGTAGTGTGTTGGTCTGCTTTGATTTCCAAGCTTTCTAAACTTCTGCAAAAGTCGTTTCACTTTCCCTCATTTACTTGGAACATTCAGCGTGCGTCGGTGACTGCGTGAACGCGCCGTCTGCCTTGAAATGAGCACCCGGGAGAAAAGAAACTAACAGCTCTGGACAAGCAGCTCGCGGCAGTCGCAGTCGAAAATGACAAAAATTTGGGGTTTGCCGCACCATAACGATGATATGATTTTGATACACGTCGAAGTGGGGGATTCTTGATTAATGTTTAACAGCTGGGGTTGTTTTTATTTGCATGTAAATCAAAGTGCACGCCTTTTTTTCTGCTCTTGCGTTTCGCCTCGTCGAAATGCAGCCGTCAGGGTCGGGGGAGCGCCGCTCGTTCGTCGCAATACTGCAACTGGTCCAGCTTTTCAAAATTTGCCTGAAATCAGACACTGTACATTCGCAATAACGCACTTGCTGTGCCACATGTAAACAGAGGCGAACATACGAGTTATTACACGTCCATTCGCCCGGAAGTGAGCGAAATCTCTCGACTGCGCAAAGTTGCGCATAAGGCCAGATGGTTCGCACAGCACGGCCGCTCAATTTCTATTAAACTGTGAACATTATCAGACTCCTGGTGTCATTTTATTCGCAACAGAAAACCCAAACAATTAAACCATTACTGCAAGAAATGCTTCCGTAGAATGCCTTCTTTTCATGACAAGAAAAAAAAAAAAAACACCTGTTCTATGCGCTTCAATTTTCTGGACCGAACGATTAAATCCCTCTACGAGCCTTAGGTACAATATATGTAATATCAGAGTCCTTAAATGCCAGCAATACTAACCTCATAGCAGTCTTCGGTGCGGCGTGTTGCCCCGCCACGGTGTTCTAGCGGTTATGGCACCCGGCTACAGATACGAAGGTTGCGAGATCTAATCCCGGCCGCGGCGGCTGCATTTTGGTTGAGGCGAAATGTTGAGGCCCGTGTACTTGGAGTTTGGTACACGTTAAAGTGGTCAAACTCGTTCCAGAGCCCTCCACCACGGGGCGTCTGTCATAATCACAGCTGGTTTTGGGACGTAAAACCCCATCAGTCAACCGGTGCGACGTTTAGTTTATGATCATGACGAACGTGAAAAGTAAGGTCGAACACAGTTGACAGTGTATTGTAATTAGGCCATTGTTTTATAAGCAGTCTCATATAGAAGAGACAGTAAACGAGTAACTTAAGCCGCTCGTGATTTCGACAAAAACACACAAGAAGTTATTTTGATTCTTCTAATGGCCGACTATATACGAGGGGTTAAGATATTCCAATCATCGATGCTAGTATTGTTGTCAGTGTCAGAAGGAAAAAAATAATTCAACCATATTCGTTAAGTAGTGCTTGAAGCTTACCGTACGGCTCTTGCAGACTTCGCGTTTGCCTTCATCACGCACTGATCTATAATCAGTTTCTCGCGATCGGAAAGTCTTTGAAGGCTCTGCTGTTGTCGTTCGTACTTGGCAGTCTTCTTTCGGAACTCGGCGAGTTTTGTTTGGCATTTCCGAAGCTGCTGCTTCGCAGCTCGAAGTTGGCACCTCAACTTTTGCACTGCTGCACAGCTGGCGCAGTCAACCAAGCGGTCTGTCTGACAAGCTGTGTCCGTGTGGTAGGTTTCGACCGTTTCATTGGTCAGTGCCACATCTGCTAAAAAAAGAAAAAAAGGAAGAAGAAAAGGAGTGAAGAAAAACAAGTCATGCAGTTTCAAGTTTACAGGCTCAGACGATACCCTCATACACGGTGACACGGATGTAATCTGGCCTAGCTCTTGCATACCTTCATTCACTGATGCAGCATCGGTGCGGTCTGAACAGGTCGTCAGCGATGCTCGTTGCTCCTCCGTCTCGCACGACGACTCACGTGCTCGTTTGCGCGGTGATCGATTTGTCGATGAGCGGGGTCGAGGTTTACGCTTCGTGAGATACGAAGGAAAGCCACCAAAAATACTTGTGACAGCGTCAGCCTACAGCGTTGGCTTGTCGCGCTCCAGGGACACGGCGTCGCCGTTGATATTGAAATCATAAGTAGTGACAATGTCCGAGGCGTCGAAATGCTTCGCGCACACACGTGTATATTTGGACTCAAAGTTGAAGTCGCCACTTTCCTGCCGCGGTATGGCCCGTTTCCATTTCTCGCGCTGGTCCTTGTCATGGAAAAGAAAACAACGCCACCTTCTCGGTCGTTCCTCTGTAGCCGGAACGGCACCCCGGCACGCAACACGTGTTAGGCATCGTCGTCTCACAACATTTTGGCTAACTCGGACACGCACGCACGCTTCTTCCACCAGTTTGTTTCGCTGTGCGCACGCGTTTCAGTCTGTTTCAGTACGCGAGCAGCCCGAACGATGCCCTCTGTGGCGCAGTGGCACCGCATCGCGGCAGTTTTGAGCAGCGTATGAAGCTCTCCCATAGAGTGACGGCGGAGTTTCGTGACCAGAAAAGCATTGAAGGACTCTGGCTGCGCTGAGCGAAACATCCCCACGAGCACTAAGGTTGATGTCAGCGAACAGCTGCTGACTAGCGCCACGTTGCTCAAAGCTCACGTTTCTAGCGGCAGGAGTTATGAACTAAAACATGGGCGCTGGAGAGGGCACATTCGTGCAGTTCAGGAATACAGTAGGTCGTGGTCACAGCAAAGGGCTACCCTCTGTGCTGTGAGAGAAGGGTGGGAAGGACGTGGAGGAAACTGAAACTAGCTAACGCGGGTTGTTCTGTGCCCCTTAACCCATTTTTAATAGAGCACTTATTCGCAAAGTTCTTGCGGCAGCATGTTTACATTGTACAAGCGTGGTTATTTCTCCATTTGAAATTTCGGACCGCGAGGTTGTTTACTGGCTTTTTAATAGAGAAACAAGAGTCTCAATGGTTGCTCATGGCACACCCTTTCCCTTCCCCAGATTTTTGGCACGCCGCGGTACCACCCAAAAAGCCAGCCATTTGTTGACCACGTGTTCACCTTCTCGCTGCTGGATCACCGGATATGGTTCCGCAACTACCAGATCGTGGAGGAGACTGGCGCTCTCGTCGAGATTGGTCCGTAACTGTAGAAGCATCTTTCTCTACTTGCCAGTGGAAATCTATATGGACCATTGTTCGTTAGTTTGTGTACAAATGCAAAAGAAAATATGGTAGCACGGATTAAAAGCACTTGCCTTCTTCCAATGATGAGGTGAATAGGAAGGGGCCTCCTGAACTGCGCTATGCCTTTGTTCTTATATGGAATGTCTTAAAATTACCAGACTAATGACAGCTCTTGGTTCAGCTTGAACTAGCTCTTGATTGAAAAAAAGTGTAATCAGTACACATTTCAGGTTGTATTTATCCTTATTTTTTAAGCTTTGTACCTTTGAAAAGGAAATTAGAGAAAAGGCATCGATTTAGAGGTGCGGTTTGACTGCTGTAAAATGAGCCGGCCAAGCTCTTTGACAGCTGTCGCACGCATAGGGGGGAGCGTAATTTAGTATTTCGCAGTGCAGTTCACCATTGTTTTTTATATACAAATGCCAAGTAATTATTCTCCTGTATCGAAACTTGTTATGACGTGGCCAAAAAATGAGCAATCTTTTTTAGAATAAATGCAGTTTCTGGGCTTCGGCATAGCACAGCATCCTAAATATAAAATGTTACGCTCTGCGTAAGTTTGATATATGTGTGCAACAGTTCCATATTTTTGCATGGAAAATTTAAGGGGATTTATCAACTGTTCGACATAGCGAATAATTCAATATATCCAAGGTCGATACCCGGGATCGACTGTGTTTGCACAGGCTGAAGCTTTGGTCGAAGACTATGGCTATGCTCTATGCAGCATGTAATGTCACGCGCACCATGGCAAAGTGGTGGTCACCAGCGGTGGCCGGGGTTTGCAGCCAGGGACTTCTATGGTTTGTTTTGCACTGAAATACTCTTTTACAGTGCGCTTTTTATACATGTGAAGGCAAAATAGACTATGTACTTCTGTATGCTATTGGCTATTTCAGAAAGTGTGCAACTCTGTAACCGATTTTGTTGGACATATTCAAGACATTTTTGCAGTAATCAATTTGTGAAACGATGAACTTCGGTGCTGATGTCATTTGATGATTGCTTGAAAAAGTGTTTCATGACTCCTTTAAATATAGGCTTAGCTTGGCAGTGTAAACTGTGGTGAGTACTTCAATGCTTCGGGCGAAGCTGCGGCACGGGGTGGTCAGATGTAGCAGATTAGTACTGCGGCCGACTCTTTTTGCAAAGTAAGTGAGCTGATGTTTGTCTTCCCATCATGTGCAGGACCTCGGTTTGTGCTCAACCCCATCAAGGTCTTCGAGGGCAGCTTTGGAGGAGCTGTCATCTTCAGCAACCCGCATTATGTGACTCCGAGTGAGGTAAGCGGTGCTCGCACGTTACTCTTTCCACTATGTTCACAGAAAAGGTTCTCCTTCTCTTGGACGGCTGCATGCTGATGTTGGGATTTGTTGTCGTGCCTTATTTTCATGGGTACTTCCAGCCCAATAAACTTCCGGCACTTGTTGACAGCAGCATTTAAGAGTGCTGCTATGGTGCGTGGTGAAATAAACTAGCGAATGCGCCTGCGGTTCCAATGTTCACGTGTGATGCCAACCACCGAGGTTTTCACAAGCTCAAGTTGCCATGCTCTCTGGAGTCTGGAATGCACAGCAGAACTGCGCGATCAGTCTACTGGTGGCACTGAAAAGTGACTCGAGAGGCCCACGTCTTTGCCTCGAAAAACCAGGAGCACATTCCTAAGCCAAGAGGGCCTGGGCATTTAAGCTTATTAGGACTGCTCGGGGATGAAGAACGAGTAGTTAGTATGGCAATTGTGTGAATAAGTTTTAGTTGTGGAATGCACTAGTCGGCCTCTCGGTTTTGTGTGTGTGTGCACGCTTGTGTATGTGAAAGATGACACGTAGGCATTGCTCAACTGTGAATTGTGCATGGAGTGATGTTCATAGACTGATATGTCAACCTTTGTAGTCGTATAGGGCAGTAACGTTTAATACTTCACTTTATTTTGCTGCAGTACGAAGTGATATGCAGTAGGATTTGTGCATGCTGCTATTCCTTATGAATTAAGATGGTCTGAAGGGATCAATTTTTTTAAATCATTGTTTAAATATATGCTGATTATGATGAATTATCCTCCAATGCAAAATAATGTTCATTGTAACCCATCTGTCTATTCTGAAAAAGTAATTTAGCTGCTTTCAGTCTGCTCCGAAACTACATTTTACCTGCTCCCAGGAATGCTCTTAGACACGCTTTGCGAGTTCCAACCCTGTAACATTTTATCTTCCTTTCTTTATTCTCAATGTGCACAGCATCGCCGCTCCCTGAAATTGGCTGCTGCCGGCAAGTACAAGGAAAGGAAAGAGGCCAGGGCCAACCTCAAGCATCGCATTGCCGAAGGCCCAGCACCATCTAATCCGCTGGACGACATTTTCCAGACTGTTCCTCCCGAAAAAGCAAAGGGTCGAGACAAGCTACTGTTTCGACGGAAGAAATAGACACATTGTTATATTTGTACATTGCTTGTCTTGTTTTCTTTGCACTTGCTATTGTAGCCTGTGGCATTTACTGTGATCAGACATTATAAGGTATGACTTGGCCAGCTTACTCTTGTGTTCAGGAGCATGCATTTACTGGAACACAGGACCGTAGGCTTGTACAAATGTGCGAATGAATAATGCAGTATTTGAATTTGCTTTGAAATGAATGTAAATTTTTGAAAATTTCAAATAATTAGAAACATAACATCCTGTAAAGAAGGTTTCACTGCAGAAGAGAGGTGCTAAGTAACTAAATTTGTCCTAAGGTGTATTAGATTTTACTTTGCTTGTAACCTTTTGTAAAACTGATTTCACTGCAATCGGTTGGTGCTAAGCCGTGAAAACGGGTGTCTATGGGAAAGCAGCACTGCCACGAAGCCGGAGCTTCGGTTCAAGGTTAAATGTGCATACGTATTGCCCTCACATTGATTCATAATTTTTTTACGTTTAAAAGCTTGTTATATTGACCTATACGTTCCAAGTATCGCAAAGTTAGAACGTGGAATATTTTACAGGTTATCACTTGCATTCTACCAAAAGTCAAATCCTGCTACTATTTAAGAGTTGTTTCCAGTTCCTTTGATGCAAAAAATGGTATTTGCGCAGGCATTTTGTCACTATCTAAGGAATATAGTACAGGTTAGGTCATGACTAATGTGCCCATTTTTCTTGACAATATGCAACATATATACTGTATACATATAACCATCCCATAGCTGTACCTGACTGAAACAAAGTGTGCTTAATTGCGATAGGCTGGAAAATAATGCAAGGGCTGTTTGTAGAGTCACTGTGCTTCATTCCTCATGGAGCCGTGGGCCACAAGTGAAAAGACCTCTGGTCACATTCTTTAGAAGTCTGGCTGAGGCACTTGTTGCATCTCATCGAGCGTGTTCACATCGGTCATTACAATAACACGACACTTTCGAGTCATGGCTTCAGTTTTGCATTTCTAAACATGGCATTTAGGTAATCATGACAGTCAAAAAGAGTTGCTCTTAGGCCATGGTATTTTCCGATACATAATTGCAGGCTCAACAGATGCACAAGCATGGCAACATATCTTCCTTGTACAGTTGAACTCCCTTATAAGAAACACGCTCTGCACTGGGGAACAATGCTCGTCTTTTATATTAGGTGTGTCTGCTAATCGGGGTACCACGTATGCATTTTCTTACAAATCCCTGTTTCAGTCTAGGCCCACTAGTGTCTCTCGTACCCATCTTGTCTCTTACATCAGCAGCTCTTTTAAAGGGGTTACACTGTACAGGATTGTGACTACGGATGTGCTTCTTGGTCTTAAGCTTAAGGGCACCCTGAAAGGTTTTTTTAAATAGTTTTTTTGGGGGTTTGGGCTAGAGCATCATCAAGCCACTGCAAATTTAGCGACACACTGTGTACCCAGGCCACTATGGACAATTATATCATGCCCACTTTCTCACCTCTGCCTTGCCTCCTGAACTCACGAGGTGAGCTGGCATCGTTTGCGATTGCAGAGCTCTCATGAGTGCACCAGACGATTCGAACTGAACCTCTGATATTGCACGACAACACGTTGCTCGCAATCTCAGAGACCATCACGCAGTGCGCCCGGCAGCACGCATGGCGTCCGGTAGAAGAGATAAAGATCGCGGCAGCCGATCCTAGGCGCCGCCACTCTACCAGCCTATCTTACTTTCACGTATTCCACAGCCAATCAGATTAGTAGCCAGGGTGATGTCGCTTTACCAGAGTGTGTCGTTCTGTGAATGGGTGGTTGAAAGCACATTTGGCTGAGTCGCAGCTATCTGCAGCGATTCGCAGCTCCATTTCCCACTAAAGGAAACCATGTGAAAACAGCGCATGAGGCGACTTGAGTTCCGTTCATCACGGGCACCATGTTAACGCGTCCTTGCAAGTGAAGCACACCATAAATTTGCAGTAGTTTCTGTTGCTGATGCTCATCCTAAACTCTTGTTGGAGCATGCCACGCAGGAGCATGTGTGTTCATCGTGCTACTGCAGAATCTCGTTCTCCGACGCCATTGCATGATTTAAAGCATTGTAATAAATTACACAGTTAATGCAGAGACCTGAAGTTGGTCTGTAAATGACCCTTAGGTATTGGTCTACATGCCCAAAGTGTTTGCACAAAATCGTCAAAACTATTTCAGAGACTTTTTAAATCCTGCTTACGGCTACAAGGTTCTTTAATATCATACAATTGCACTTCCTATCTTTTGCTGAGCCTTTTTGTGCCGTGCTCATGGTTGGCTAAGCGCCTGTAGGAATGGATAGCAAAGTTGCAGGCACCTCTGGTGAATAAGCTGAAATATATTGGACATCGTGCACGTGCGAGCTTGTGTCAAACTCGCAGACCTGATCATGAAAGATGTGATGTGACTGAAGGCAAGTCATGTCGCATCATGTGTGCTGATATTCACGTTGCCAAAGTCTTGGGGTGAGATGCTGTAAAGGGCATGCTGTTCATGTTGTGACGCTTGCGAAGGGGCTGGAATCACACAACCTGCACTGACTGCTTCACGGGCTGTGCTGTTAGCATGGCAGGGTCCATTTATTCATCCCTGGCTAAGCCTCGCAATACTTCATGGTTTAGATGATGGAAATACTATTTCGTACAAATCTGTAGGAGGAAGACGAGGTTTAGGACAGTTGGAGGAATAGGACAGCTCTTCTATCTTTCGTGCAGTTACTTCTAGACGTTAGTCAATGACTCATTAGATCGAGCGAACATACAGATCTCCTTGCTGTACCGGCACATGTCTTCTATGGACCGAGCGTTCTGTAACTGGAAATCGCCTTTTCTATGTGTCAAAAGTAAGTTCTTGCTTCTCAATATCAAATATCGCAGATTGAAATGAAGTTACAGGCATAATGCCAATCATTCTCCAAAGGCACACATCGGAGTCATACTTTTTTAATTGAAAAGTTAATGCCTGACCATTGAACTTCAGCTGTAGAATGTTGTTTACTTTGAACAACATGGCTCGGAAGGAACAGCAAAATGCACATCAGAGTGGTACAGTACACTGTCCCATACTTCTAGTAGACTACACGAAAAGGTGGTGCAGTGACTGGCGAGTCAGCTTAGTTTATTCACATTTGCTGTGATAGCAGTTTATTTTTATTTTTTGCTTATTTCATATTTTATTCGTATATAAATGTTTCATTTGAGGAAAACTAGATAACAGAGTGGCTGGCTACCATGCATGCTAACAGAGGTAAATTAAGGAGGTGTTATAAAGCAGGCCCTATTTTCATTTAAAGCACTTTCATTGCACATTTTTTTAGCACTCCATGCAGTAAACAGCAGTTTCGTTCAGTATTTAAATTAGGTTAAACCAGCTCAGTAAATGTGAAGAACACTTAGGCATGCTTTGGGTGCGTGAACATTTACATTTCCTAGTTATCACTTCATTGTAAGTGTTGAAGACGTCAAGGGCGCACAAGAGCAAGAATCCTGGTCTCGCGCATCAAATAACAATAGGGTAGCTAAAAATCGCGCAGGTGAGACAAGTACACTGACGTGGTAGCTTTTGTAGTTCTCTGAGATACGATTGTAAATTTGGAAGAACTGACGAATTCCATTCTCGGTTTTATGAAGATCGCGATGTAACGAAATATTTCTGCGGTCCTGATGCCTTGGTTAAATCAAGGTTCAGCTCTATATGCGCACAAGAGCTAGCATAAAGGTGCTTTTACACCAGAGCGACACGACCCTGACACGAGGCAGACGGTCTGCCGACGAGTCGCCAGACCATGGTCACACAAGGCCTATCACGACGACGCATCAAAAGACAGCGTGTCGTCGTAATGTAACATGACGACAGACCTAAAAAACCAGCAAAACGCACCGACAGATCTGTCATCGGCGTGTCGTTGAGATATGCGGCTGAGCGAGAATTCGCCCATGACTTTGCTTCAAAATTAAAACGACCACAAAGGGGATATCTTTGTTGAAATAACAATGCCCTATGCGAGGCTTCCATAGCGCTTGAATAGGCATCTTGTGCACTCCATGGAAGTCTTTTCTTCGCTTCCCTTTTGTGTCTCCCCACCCCTGTTCCCGGATGCCGGATTACGCCGCGCTGCGTAGCCGGAGAGGGATAATGGTGGCTGAAAATGAGGTGCAGATGTGCAAGTTTATTCGGTGTCTCCCTGTGTGCCTCCAGTGAATATGCCAACGAAAGGCTGTGCGAGCACGACAAGGCGCGAATGGAGTTTCCAGAGACCATCGGCAGACTGTTTGTGTTGTTGCAGTGTAAATTGGACGACAAGACAAAAGACAGCCGGCAGACCAAAATCGGTGTCGTGTCTCTCTAGTGTAGTGTACCGCTGCCCTGATGCTATACAGCGTCACACGGCAGAAAAGAAGAAAGAAAGGTTGGACAAAAGCCTTGGGAAGTATGTGATTGAACGAAAAGCCGCAGAGGTTAGCATGGCATGCAGTCTTCAAGAAGGAGCGTTCAATACATTTAGACTGTTTGCCACTACAAGCTCCATCAAAGAAGCAACATTTTATGGCAGACTTCGCTTCTGAATGAACCCCAAGGGGAATACGGGGCATTAGATTGCACCAGCGGAGGCGCTGGTTTGCGCATCGTAGCTGTTTCAAATTTAATGCTGAAATACTGAACGGTCGCTGAAGACGCTTAGACAGATCGTGTTAGATACAACTAATGTCCCACGTACTCTACCCACAGAGGTGGGTGAAAGTGGACAGCAGATTTTAGTGCAATCTTACAGGGTTTTACTGCTGAACCAGGAGCACATGGAAGTGTATCTTAGAAGTTTTGCAGCATGTTTACCGCCTTATATTATAATCCATCAGACATCTATCTACACTCTAGCTAAACAAAATTTTTAAAATGTGATGCGTCCAAATCATCCAGACATTCCCTTACAATCCAAACGGTTTGTATTGTTCCTTTCCAACAAACTGCTTGTGGAGGGTGGCACATGGCTTACTTCAGACCACGG